AACATATACGTCGGGAGCCATTAAGATCGTGTTGCTCAGTCTTCAGTTTTGTATGTTGTGTTTTGTAAACTGTTGCTTGTCATTTCGTTAGTTTTTTTTAACCATTTGTCTTAGACTCATGGGTTTAGATATCCCTTTGGTGTCTTTCGCTTATCTTTTGTATTGTATTGTGCATACAGATCCATAAATAATACTGGTGTGTCAACCAATGGATGCTAGCTTTGATAACTGGCTAGCTGTAAATTTTGTAGTAAGTGTTTGAATACACACTTAAGTTTAAGGCAACTTTCTTTTATTTATTGTACAATTTCTTACTGGTTTTGTTACTTTTTTTTGGAATTGTGCATGGATAAAAACATACAGACCATTTAATGAAAATTTGGAAAAATTATATTTTGGGAACAGGATGTTATATATGTAAATCTAAAACGTCTGCTACAATATATCTGTGTAATTATGACAAAACAATAATACGGGACACTGGGTGCATAGTTTCTGCTCTCCAAGCGGTAAAACACAAAGATCGAGACAATTCGGCAACCACCCAGGACAGTACTTTAAGTTAGTTTTACAAATTATATAATTCAAAATTACCTCATCGAATATCTGCGGAAAAAAAACCCCTGCAGACAACTGAAAAAAAATATATCAGATGTTTATAAATTTCATACATTTCAATGAAATTATAACTTAAATACTTCTTACTTCTCAATCTTAATAACCACTGATAACAATGAACACATTTGTCTTCTCCCGATATATCTATATCATTGATTAATGAAATGTTCAATTACCTAACGGTTTGTTTTCCGTTACAAAATAATATTGCCCTTAGTGCCCATTCGATATTTATATTTTCATAGCCAAAATCAGTAAAAGTATGACCATGCAACATTGTTTGAAAGAATTCAGTAATTGCTAGCAGTATTTAAAACAATTTCAGAGATGTTAATGTATAATGCAATAACATATTTGAAGTCGTTAAAAACAAAGTACAATCTTAATACAACTTTAAGTAGTGTGAAAGTGTAAAATTTATTACAACAACACGGAAACATTGATTGATATTTTATGTAGAAAGAGGCTAGTTTTCAAGCTTAAAAGGATCGCATTGGTGGTCCCGTGTTAAGTCTTAACGTCGAATGCGGGAGGTCGTGGGTTCGAAACCGGAAGGGTGAAAAAAAGAACTTTTTCTCCGCGAAGCACGCGGCATTAAGAAGTAAGAAAGACTGACCGGCTCAGAGACAGAATTATATGTCCGGTTTGGATGACATGTCTTCTTCCGGACTGTTACTTGGTGAACCAGCAAGTTAAAATTTCAGCTCAGTGTGTCCGTTTAGTAGTACTCCGGGTTTATTCTCATATCACAGTATCATATTCTATTCCTGAATATGCATTTAATTTGCCATTGGAAATTGAACAGTCAATCACTCGTCCATCAAGCTTTCAAGATATTTTTATTTGATATTTGTTTTTACATTGACATTGTGTTGTATTTCTAATTTTATCTTTCTGTGGACTTTTTAGAATGTTTTAAACACGCCGAGAACACACCGCGTGAACGTGTGACGTTTCACTTGTATACTTAAGCATTGTAGAGTACAATTTATAACATATAGAGCGTCTTTTTCATTACCTCAACCATCCTCCACAAATAATAAATTTTCCCATGAGGGCAGATTTAATAAAAAAATAATTGTATCTAAGGAGCCCCTGAAATGTTTCAGGACCCCCATTAAAAGATTTGAGGATATTCTGAAATATTTTAGAATATTCACAAATAAACGGTAAACATTACATATTTCAGTACATCCTAAATATTTATGGGATTCCATAATTATATATTTCATGACCTCCATAATTCAATTGCATGATATCCTTAACTGTTAAAGAAGAACCACATTGTTATTTCTTGAGTTCCTTAAATACAATAATTTTGACTAAATCTGCGCCTCATATTCTCCGTTGACAGTTTAAATGTATTACCTTCAACACAGCCGACAAAAGCCTTACTGAACCTACCTGTTTTGGTTGTTAACTTGTTTTCGTCCTGAACATATATGAAATTTATGGAACAAGTCAAATTAAGAACAATCAATCAATCTGAATATTTTCATCGATTTCCTATAGATATTCGTAGATTGTTTTAGCATGTAAGTTTATTACTTCAATTAAGAGGCATATATCGTATCTGTTTGATATTAGTAATACGTAAAGTAATTTTCAAAACCTAGATGTACAAGCAAGCAATTAAAAACAAAACACAAAAAACCTCTCATGATCAGCTTAACATGCATACATTTTGGTGCCAATTTTTGCTGTTCAAAACCGCACATGATATTTTTTATTTTTTAACGAAAAAAATATTTAGGACATTCATATGTTTAAACTTGTTAAAGTTTATATTCTAACATAAGATACCTTTTTATTTTTATAAGATTTTCTGAACTTGTTACGTTTGTTTTCTATTGACTATTATATATTTATAACAAAGCGAACGCAAAGGAAAAAGAAACAACCTTGAGCAAATAAAAAGGAATAAATTTATTCAAAGATTTGATGATAACTAATTAAAGTGTAGTTTAAAGGGACATTAACTGTCAAATTCATGTTCACCAATTTGACTCAAATTCTCATATTTGATTTATAACATACTAAAACGTACATCCAAATTACAAAAAGTCTAAAATGAACAATTTGCAATGCATGGGCTCGATAAAATGTATCAACATTTCGTGTGTATTTTAGTCTAGACGCCATCTAATTAATCATCGAGGCGACCTCCGAAGACTGCCGACGGTCATATAACCCGCTATAAACATAAATAAAGATATGAATAGATAGCGAACTCTTGCAATTGGATTTTTCTAGGTCTGTTTGATTTCGTATTATTGGTTAAAAATATATGTTAATTATCGTTTTACCTGTATAAGAGTTTTTGTGGATCGAATCAATTCACCCTTTTTCATTTCAATATTAACATTCTTTTCCATTTAATAACTGAACACGCCTAATTCAATCGTAACCCATCTCTAGCTAAGCGGTTAAATTGAAGGTCACATGAATACGGATTCAATGAGGTCGAGTTATTCATTTACAAGTGAATAGTTCATCAGCGATGTTTCTTAGCTTATTTTGACAAAATTAAACCAAACTGACTTCCAAAAGTGAATTATTATTTCTCTATTTCATTTTCATTAATGATTGAACAAAAAACATTCATATTTTATTTTTTTTTTATATCTCGTAACTAATGCCCCTTCAAATGTTAGATTTGTAAGATGAACCCATACTGTGTACAATAGGATTGTGCAAAAACCTTTATTAACAGAAGTTCGGAAATCTTGTGCAAATCTCAACGCTTTACACCAACATGTGTTTCAGTTAGTTTTGTACAAAATAATTTTTGCTTTTAGCGGTTACACTATTGCAGGTGAAAGTGTAATTTAATCAACAGGAATTTATACAAATCATTATTCACTTAATTAGCATTTAAGGGAAATAACACTTTTAAAGCTACATTTTGGCTTAAAGGACGTATTGATAACTATTAATTTAAATTATATCTGTGTTGTTCAGTCATTGCAATAAGTATTTTATCTTTGGACGAACATCAAGTCGCTCACAACATTAAAATACTTGTCTTATTTCTTCTCAATTCAAATTCTGTACACAATATGTTCTAGACATTGCATACTATTTTGTCTTCATTAACATTTTAGTGATATGGGTAAATGCCAACAAGACAACAACCCAACGACAAAAATAGTTAAAGTCATCTTCATGGCAACGTACAGTCTTCAACAGTAACCAGGTGTCTATACAAGAAATCATCAAAGACCTGTCAGCTACACTCAGTTCTGCAGATAGTGCAAAAGATAGTGCAAAAGCAATAAAATGACATATTACAACTATTAACGAGATTCCTTCCATTAACTTCAAAGAGCAGTCACCATCCTCATAAAAATGTAGTGTGACATTAGTTAATCAGCAGACTGATACTTTTAAAACCTTATTTTCAGTATTTTTTTTTCAGTGTTATGTTTTTGTTGTTATTCACACAGGTGTATCTGAAGTGATTGCTTCTCATATATTGTACATTTTTTCATCCATTCTTGTTAAAAAATGGATCGAAATTAATTTTTTTTCAAGGTCTTCATCTAATAGATAAATTTGATTTAAATAATATAATGCAAGTTTTACTTTTGTTGAATGAAGAGAGGCGAAGTTACCAAAGGGACGTTGAAACTCGTTAGTCAGACACAAACTGACACAACAAAAATTAACACAATTAAGAGACAAACAACAATATATAAAACATAACATAGAAAAACAAACGATTGAGCAAAGCGTACACCACCTATAACTGGGGTGATCTTCGATACTCCGGAAGAGGTACCAGATTCTGCTGCACATGTGACACCCGTCGTGTTACTCCTATAAAAAACGCTGATAAGTTATATCAAACGATTCGGCATCACACGATAGCGGATTAATAGTCATCAAATACGTAAACCATCGGTCATATACATTTTCTAACCCTAAAACTTGACCGAGTGTGAAATTTTGAAATTGAAACTTTTTCACGACAGGACTGTTATTGGTATAAATGAAGCAGTCATTGAAAAAGCAAAAACAGCATGAAGAAAAGCAGTTACAACTTAAGCAAAAACAACATAAACTCCTTTAAAACAAGATAATGGGTGTTCTCAGGTGCTACTGAAGAGTAAGCAGAGCCTGATCTACATGTGGCGCCTGTCATATTGCTCATGTAAGTTCTATTACTGTATATTTCTACCTTATCTGCTTTTCGGTTAAAAGTAAAGTGAAGTATTCCAACATATTTTGAAAGATAAAAAAGGATGAAAAAAGGTTTTATCGCAGACATCTGGATTTGAGTTAACAGCGTGAATGTTTTTGTGCGGGTTTTCTTCCAGACTTATTTTGATCATTTCACATTTACAAATTTAAAAAAATACGGCTTTTTTTTTAAGACTTCCTTAAGGATGTTCGCTGCACACACTTTATTAAATAAAAAAAAAAACCGTGTTGAGAATAAAAAAAACAATAAGCTGTTCCTTAACAGCAGCATTAGATCCTTCTTATCTTCAGGCTTGCATATCTCTTTCTCTAATAACAACAGCATAACTTTTAATACTCATCCACTTACATCAAGTGTCCCTGGATCGATGCTCTGTGGAAAGAAAAAAGGCATGTTACAAAAGTAGTAATCGTTTGCAGTCCAAAGTAAGCGACAATTGCAATTTACATATGTTCTAATTTCTATAGGTATTTTCTGTAGGTCTGTGTGTTACGAAATTTTCAAAGTGCAATAATTTCAAAACAGCAAAGATACTCAATACAAATGTGGTGCTATTTTGTATATGTACTAAAGGGAAACGTCATTGAAAGCAATATTTGTTGTTTCATTACTTTTAATGGAAAATGGGGATTTTGTGGCAATCAACCCAAGATCTTAAGTTATTTCAAAGATTTTTGTTATAAAATTTTATACATAAATTACTCGCTTGATTTGTCGTGTTATGCTATAGTCCTAAACAACCTTTACACTCCCCAAAACCTCGTGCTGAGTCAATAAAGTCGAGCCACTCCAGAAGGCATACCAGAATAGGTCCATTTAAAAAAAAATAATATCAATATTCAAAAACTTGTTATAGGGATATCATTGGTAGCACATAATGCAGTTATCCTCTATAGATTAGGTACCAAACTGTCAAATATATGAAAACAATTGGAAAGGCTGTGGATTTTCTTCAAAATTTCCATATGTTAAGCATTGAAACAACAAAAGGGTCCAAATACTTGATGCCATATGTATCACATAAAATAGCTGAAAGCAAATGAGGAAATATTAATGACTATCAAAGTAGCAAGACATTGTGCGTCGACATCTATTGCTGTGCATGCATATCTACCAGGCAAATCCAGACTCTTCTTAAATAAGATGATAGGCAATAGGACAAAATTTGAAAATTAATCAATCAGATGATTTTTCTGATATCTTAGAGGAAAACTGTAAAAAGATATATCAAAACTACTGAAGTTCGAGGTAAGTTAAATTTAGGAATGCCTACGACCCGTCCATAAAGCGATTGCCGAAACAAGCATGAATGTTGTTCAGGACTACATTTACAGATTCATCATCTCATTATAGATCTAGTAATAAATCATAATACATAGTATTAGATACCCCAATAATGATTGAGACCAAGTTTGGTTTAATTTGGTCCAGTAGTTAATTTAAAAGCAGGTCATCCCAGTGTAGTCTTACAATAGTTACTGAAGACCCCTTATCATTATTTAAATTAGTGTTCAATTTGTGACCATTTGAAATTGTTTTTTAACAATTTTCCCATAGACTTCTATAGTAAACCCCTATGTTCTATTTTTAGCCATGGTGGCCATGTTAGTTGGATTGAAAGGGTCATCGGATACATTTTTCAATCAAGATACCATACTTAAAATTGTGGCTAAGTTTAATTCTATTCGGCCTAGTAGATTAAGTGGAGAAGATTTCTGTAAAAGATAAAAATTTACAAAAAATTGTTAAAAATTAACTATAAAGGGCAATAACTCCTTAAGGGGTCAATAGACCATTTTGACCATGTTGACTTATTTGTATATCTAACTTTGCTGAACATTATTGCTGTTTACAGTTTATCTCTATCTATAATAATATTCAAGATAATAACCAAAAACTGCAAAAATTCCTTACAATTACCAACTCAGGGACAACAACCCAACTCCGGGTTGTCTAATTTGTCTGGAAATTTCAGGGCAGATAGATCTTAACCTGATGAACATTTTTACCCCCATGTCAGATTTGCTCTTAATACTTTAGTTTCAGAGATATAAGCAAAAATCTGCATTTTAACCCTATGTTCTATATTAAGCCATATAGGCCATGTTGGTTAGTAGGTGGGGTCATCGGACATATTTTTTTAAACTAGATACCCTAATGATGATTTTGGCCAAGATTGGTTTAATTTGTCTCAGTAGTTTCTGAGGAGATTTTTGTAAAAGATAAAAAAAATTTACAAAAAATTGTTAAAAATTGACTTTAAAGGGCCACAACTCCTTAAGGGGTCAATTGACAGTTTTGGTCATTTGATTTATTTGTAGATCTTACTTTGCTGAACATTATAGCTGTTTACAGTTTATCTTTATCTATAATAATACATGTATTCAAGATAATAACCAATAACTGCAAAATTTCCTTAAAATTACTAATTCATGGGCAGCAACCCAACTTCGTCTGAAAATTTCAGGGCAGATAGATCTAAACCTGATGAACATTTTTAATTCGTCAAATTTGCTCTAAATGCTTTAGTGTTAGAGATATAAGCCAAACACTGCATTTACCCCTATGTTCTATTTTAAGCCATGGCGGCCATGTTTGTTGGCAAGTGAGGTCTAAGGACACATTTTTTAAACTAGATACCCCAATGATGATTGTGGCTAAGTTTGGTTAAATTTGGCCCAGTAGTTTCAGAAGAGAAGATTTTTGTAAAAGTTAACGGACGACGAGGACGACGACGGACGACGACGGACGCCAAGTGACGAGAAAAGCTCACTTGGACTTTCAGGCCAGGTGAGCTAAAAAGAAAGCACATGGACCTACATGACATGGAAAGAAAGGGGCAAAGCAACATTTAATATTACAAGTATGATATATACCCACAATGACAATTAATGTTCAGAACTAGTTCTGTATTCATTAAGAAACATTAATATTGTAAACAATACTGAGTAAATATAAATTATCGTATTATTTCACATATTTCATACCTTAAAAATTTCTGCTAAGGCTCTTGCTTGAGCATACTCGATCTTTTTTTCTGTTCAAAAATAAGAGAAATCGTAAATTATAAAACAAAACGACAAACACAAAAAAAAAAAAAAAAACTGAATAATTAGAATCAATGTAAATTACTTTGGTTAATGAAAGCGATACTTCATATCATTTATATACAGCAAGCTCTGCCTATTCCTATACTTTTAATTTTACGGCATATTGATATGAGCTACAATAAATGATCAGCTCCTCCTATTGCGTTTCATTCTGTCTTAAAAAAGCGACTTGGGGAAATGTGCTATTTACAAATTTTTGTTCATCGGTTTAAAAAAACATTGCTAATATTTAAAATATAATTTTCCATTAACAAATACAGTCAACATTGGCGTTGAAAATATAGCAAGATATAAAAACAGTTATCGGTCGATTTTCATTCAAATCTTTGTTATTTTGACAAATGATTTTGTTAATTTTAGTTATGACTTGAAATATCAAAAGAGACTGAAATAAGCGTGGTTCGTAAAACACTTATCCTCCAAACAGTACAAATGAAATGTAAAGTTGCTTAAACATCTACAAGTAACGTGGCAATAAAATCATGTTCGATTATCGTGCGTAAATATATGCAAAGTACAGGAATCTTTGTGCTTCGAATAGCTAACTATACGTTGTCGATTGTTAACATGGCAAAAAGGCCACGCGGTGGCCTGTTGTATACAGCTGTGTCTTTTATGTCTTTTAACATGTAGAAGGATGGTTAGCAATAATATCACATCTCCTCAGTTTTATAGAATTTTCAATGAATGATGATTACTAGCACATGTTTGAAATACGCACACAGCGTATGAAATATGTATATTATATTTCATATTAGAAATAAAATACATGAATTGCATGCGTAGGTAATATGATAAAAACTGATTTTTTTCTGTAATTATGATTGGTTTTATTCCTTTATCTTCTTAATATAATAAAGTATTGTTTCAATATTACCACCAAGGGTGACTGGGGAATAGAAATATGGTCACTTGGTCTTCTTCCGACCGGCAATAAAACGCTTGCCAAAGTTGAGCGTCCGTTTGGCCGTACGGGATGTACAAGTTTGCAGCCACGTCCGCTCAGAATGGGGACGTTAAATCCGATGCCTCGTGTAAAGAGAGTGCCACCCTCTTTACACATTAAGAACCCTTGTAACAACTCTTTGATGGTTCCGTAGGTGGCCTGTTGCAAGGCAAAATTTCTGTCCCTATTCAATATACCCTCATTTTCCAGTGGCAGTCCACATTTCCCCGACCATCATCCCGGATGGCCTCTATTACAAGACCTACCTATTGTATTTATTGTTAACTTGTTCTCGTCCTGAACATGCATGAAATATTTGCCACTGGACGTTAAGCAACCAACAATCAATCAATCAATCTTTCAATATTAAAGGTGTTGTTTTGACTAAACTAAGTATGTTCTTTCAGCTGTTGAAATGCATAGTGTATAAAAAAGAACGTAGAGGTTGAAAATTGTTGAATATATGAAAGCTACTAGTTCTTCAGCCGGATTATATACTAATGGGGATCTTTCAAATAGGAAATCTTAAGACCGGGTGTGGTCATTGCTACTGTTCCTTCAGTAATATGACAAGAAAGCTACGGAAACCAACCAATAACTAAATGTATTCAAAGCTGATTGAAAGAAATAATTAGATATTTACAGTAATTTAGATTTGACAAATATATTACTTAGAATACCCGTTCTCTCTTCTTTGTCATATTTGATAATATCAACGAATTAACAATGTCTGTGAAATGTAATTTTTGGAACGATAGTCGTAAAGTGAATTTATTAGATAAGGGATTTGTAACGGGGGTTTTCAAGAACCTTTTGTATCAAGAATAAAAAAAAAAGAAAAGATAAACAACACGTTATCAATTTCATACGTTCGAACCGCTTTTCTGGATTAAGTTTCAAAAGAGTTATTCCATATAGGCTCGTATGGATGTTATGTATACCAAACTGCTGTTGTATGAAAAGTAGAGGATCATTTATATAGATATCTTGAAGATTTGATGATGTGTGCTACGTTGATCATCGCATTCTCCAAGCTGTAGAAGGCACTTTATACAACTAATACACTCAACGTTTTAATTACGACTAAAATGGCTGTTAAAGTCACCATATTATGAATCCAGCAATCTTCTATTTGCCGAAAAAAAGTGTTACACGATAAGGTTGTTATTCCGTTTGTATATGTTTTCGATATTGAAAAGATTGAATGATCTAACTGACAGTAATATAAATAAACAATTTCATTTTGCATTATTTATATAAACAACATTAGAAGATTTTCAATTCAGAAAATAAAATGTCCAGGTAATTTGGAATAGTTAGCTATATATTAATGATGAATAAGCATATATTATAAAAATATTACAGATTGAACTTATCATTGGCACTCGAATCAAAGAGTGAAAAGACCAAATAAATACGGTGGTGAAGAGCATTGAAAATAAAAATTTCGCAATACGGCTGAGGCTTTTTCTGCCTTGGAGTAGCTCAACCTTAGTGTTTCGAAAATATTTTAATAAAAAAATAGTAAGTGTACACCGTGGTATTAAGACAATGGACAGTCAATGGGTAGATTCGTGTCTAGGATAATCATAGGATTTTTTCGTAAAAAAAGATGCGGATGATGGCAAAGGGACATTCAAAACCCACAACCCGAGAAACATCGACAACGTTATGTTGAAAAACGATAGACGAAGATAAGAAAAACAAGTTCACAAAACACTTCACAGAAAAATGCAGACTAAGCAACACGAACTCCAACAAAAAACTGGGCCGGGAGGGGGGGGGGGGGGGGGTTTGGTGGTGGTGGTGGTGGTGGATATCAGCAAAGGTTGTAAGCAAAGCCTGCTCTACTTGCGGCACCCACAAATTGGGTGATTAGTCTCATTCGATTGCGTTTATTGAAATCTGCAAAGTAAAGTACAATTTAAATTTAAAGTGATGCAAGTTAGTAAAGTGACATGGACATCTTAGCTATTTCTTTTTTCTCATATCAATTATCATAATTATATTCACCAACTTTCAATGTGTCGATATTGTTGCTGTTGCTGCAAAACTATCAATCTCCCACAAGTTAACAAAGAGGCTCAAAACAAAAACAAGATGCATTTCCCCTTCCACTTCGAGCTTATATTAAAATTTTGACAATACTTCTCTTGCAAGCAGCAGATTTTACTCTACCGTCTATTTCATATAACCTTAGATATTACATTACTAAATGGTAACCTAAAATAAGTGCGAAAAAAATATTTACTGTTAGGCATCTTTGACGATTTATTTCCCTTCTCTATAATTATTGTTTGCCTGTTTACCGTTATTGTCCTTCGTATTATCACTTGCTAGTTTAACGTTATCGACCGTCGTAAGGTTGCTTCCCGGGTCACTGTTATTGACTTTTGAAACGTCGCTTGTCGGTGTAACATATTCGTCTCCCATTGCTTGATATGTCGTTGTTTCCTCACTTTACTGAAAATATAAGGGTATATTCCTGACAGATTTCGTTCATTGTTATAATATTTTGGAAAGAATGAAAATAGAATTTTTAAATTAATCAGGGGGAATATTCTTACGTTTCGTGTTCCAATTACAAAAAAATGACTTAGTACGGATATACAATATCCTCCTTCAACTTGTAAAAATGGAAGTTTCGTCTTTAATCGGAAATTAAGTCTAATTAATTCAAAGTTAAGAACAACTGATTAATCTTTTCTGTTCATTTCCAGTTCATGCAAACATAACAAGGCGATAATCGCTGAACAAAATTTTAATATTTTGTTCCATAGAGACTAACTCACTTTGAAGAAAACAAGCTGTTTTCGTTTTTTTTTTCTCAAGAAAATAAAAACAATATTCCTTTTTTTGACAGAAAAATGATAGAATAATAGTTAATTTCAAGTCAAATTTAATATGAATTGTCTTTTCTTTCACCCAGAAGACAAGCTATTCGGGTGCTTTAGATTAATCCACAACATCTCTACTTCAGGTGATAAATAACGAAGTTTATCAAACCTAAATTACATATTTTAGGAGATCTCTACGTCAAAATTAGACTGCAAAACAAGTTACAATCATTACAGGGTGTACAAAAAATCAAACTTCATAAACGTATACACATTTTTTACATAATGATTCCTTAATGAAATGTTTGTAGAGAAAATGGTTAGAAAGAAGAAGAAAGGACCAAAGTCTTTCATTTAAGTCATGCAGAAAATCGCATGGGAACTGTTCAGCACATTGCGACAAACGCAGAATTATACTTTTAAAACGAAGAGCTTAATCCGATTTATGCTCAAACAGGCGGTTGGGATATTTACAACCATTTTCGTCTTTTCTGTATTAAAAATATTTCTAGTTAAGTTTTTTCATCCCATTTTCTTTATTTTACGCATTGTTTGTCATACTTACTCAATCTTATGGTTAGAGCAGTTAATATTTGCCACTTCTGCGTCTTATTGTTAAATATAAATACAGATGAGAGACGACACATACATACTGCTTATTATGTTTACATTTATAAGATCCTGTGATATTTATCATGATTTACGCATGCTGTACTTTAACATGTATTACGTTCTAGTAAAATAATATACTACACACGTGTAAATTAACTAGGGGAAATCCAACTTAAGATTATACTTTTTGTGCATCTTACATTGTCTTACAAATATCGCAGAATTAAAAACATCTCATTTGTTAGACAGGCATATAATCCTCCTAATCAACAGAATGGTATTGACATATCATTGTTTTTTTTTGTAAAAAATGATTAACGCATCGCATTTGTATGTATTCTGGTTATTGAGTGATACATTAAATTTTTAATTAATTCAGTTGATTGCATTAAATCTAAATTCTTCTGTTCAAATGTTAGCCTTATAAAGAAGTACTTATCTTCTAAAATCATATTTCCAAAATTATGCAGAAGTTTTAAATGATTATTGATATCGTTCATGTACCAAGGGGGTAAAAAAACCCTATAAAAGCCGATAAAAACAGACAACTCCATTTATCAAAAGAATAAACAACAGCACAGGAGCACAAAATGCAACCGTCGTTCATTTATTCATATTGAAATAGTTCGAAGAATAAATTGGAATATTGTTAAAGCCATTTAGTAAAAGTCAGATACATGAGTCTTTAGAAAAAGTTGCACGAGGATATCTTGAGTGTATACATATTGTCATCAGAATGCTAGTTCATAACTCTGAAAAAAACCCGTCTGAAAACATAATAAAAGATTGAGTAATGCAATTCCATTTTATAATATTTATAGGATAGTTAAAGTACTACCATAATGAGAACCATGACAAATCTGCATTTTCTTAAAAAAATAACAGTAACGTTTGTTCAATAAACATTTGAACAAATATAGAAAAATTTGTAGACCATTAAGTGGCCGCGGTTTATTAAAGTTGTTTTCGTAGAAATATGTATCGGCTAACTATTAATTTTTTTTTTCATCAATGCAACTAATGTTTAGCAAACATTAATTTTCAGTAGCAAAACCCATAAAAAAATACATAAAATGAAATTTGATATCATTAAGCGATCAGACAATCATAAGCCTACTGAATACTACACAAAAAACTGAAAATTAAGTACAAAAATCTACGAAAACCGAGTTGGAGATCATGTAAAACTCCGGTGAAGAGAGAAATTCGGAGAACACGACTTTCATTGAAAAGATAGGGAGGAATGGCATATTTAAACCGATTAAAGTCTTGCAGATTCATTGCCTTATTCTATCAAAAGTAAAACATGACACTCTGGTCTTTTTACTGTTGATTGGCCACATTTAAAAATTATCAGGACGATGATCTATATTATTTTTGACCTCAAGCATCACTCAAGAGATATTATTTGTCGAAATCAAATTTGGTACAGTTGATTTTATTACTACCACTGGGTCGTCACCTAATCTGGTGGACTGTTAGACCCCGAGGGTATCTTCAGCCTAGTAGCCTGTACTTCGGTACTGGCATGAAAATACGAATAATATTTGATTAAAATTTGTCATTATAAAATTTTGGGAATTGTTCTAAATTAAGGAAAATTTCTCTCTCATGCGAAAAGTTAGATTCCGTTTCCTTATTTGGCTTTCTTTTATGTCCTTTTCGGTTGATTTGTTCTTCATTATTTATATAGAACTTTGATATTCCAATACATTTTGGTGTCGAGAGCATCACTGAAGAGACATAATTTATCGAAATGCGCATCGGGTGCATCAAAATTGAACCGTCTCTGTTGATACTACCACTTGGTCGACACCTCTGCTGGTGGACTGTTAGTCACCGGGGGTATCACAAGCCCAGTAGCCAGTACTTTGGTACTGACAAGAAAATACGGGTATTGTTTGATTTCTATTATCTGTTATAAGTTTTTTGGAAATTATTTGAAATGAAGAAATATATTTCCCTCATGCAAAACTCTAATTCCTTATCCGAATTTGACTGATTCCTTGTCCGAACTTGCCTATTATATACTTTAGGTCCTATTTCGTTTGATCCGCTCTTCAGCATTTGTATTAGATTTTGGATATTCCAAGATTATTTGTTCTGCTGTTCATTCATTAAGTGTATTAATAAAAAGTTATGTCCCTCCATGTAAACGTAAAGCACCAGAATGATTTCTTAATATTTAGTTTAACCGTTTATTATACATGTATGTCATCATAAAGTTCTACTTCATCTTTAATTATCGTACTGCGTCTGTTTACCCTCAACTATTGTATTTGTATTTATGTTATAATTGTACTTTTTCTGTAAACTAGTATTTAGTTTTTAGAGAATAAAGTATCTATATATTTAATATATTTTGGGCTGGAGCATCGCTGAACAGACATAATTGGTCAAAGTTGGTACAGTTATGTTATTACTACCACTGGGTCGATATCTATGCTCGTTGACGGTTAGTCCCCGAGGGTATCTCCAGCTCTGTAATAAGTTTTATTGTACTGGCATAAAAATACGGATCGTGTCTAGTTAAATTTTGTTGTTATAAAATTTGAGAAATTATTTTGAATTAAGGAATCTATCTTCCCTATGCAAAGCTCTGATTCCTAGTCAGAATTTGGCTATACTTTAGGTCCGTTTTGGATTGATCCGCTGTTCAACATTTGTATTAGATTTTGGATATTCCAATATTTTAGTCTCGAGTATAACTGAAGAAACATTATTTGTCAAAATGAGCATCTGGTGCATCACACTGGTACCGTTTATGTTATTAATCCTGTATTCACCATGAGATGCGTCCAATATACGAAATACCGAAAAGGGATGGTCAATGAAGTAACAAAGTAATTATGCTTCAAAATCAGTGTTCATGCACTTAGGTATATATCAAGGACTTACTTTGAACTGTGAATTTCTAAAAAAATATATCTTTCTTACCAAAGTATGACAAAAAAATCAGAATTATAAGGAAAATACGTAGTATTTTTTAGTTAAGAAAAAGTTTTTAGTCTATGTTAATATTAATTACAATGGTCTTTGACTTGTTACATATGCATTTAGTCTAATCTTTTGATGAATTGGTGACCCTTGGTGTTAAGAAAGCAAGGAAAACCACATGTAAAGGTATTTGAAATATCTAAATTAGACGAATAACAATAATTAAAAGACAATTGGTTGAAGACGATAAAAAATGATCGACCGTTTCATACTTTTCGACTGCTAAATCCACAACTTGTCTTAGCATTGGATTTATATTTCTCTATTTATACAGATAAATCAGAAATAACAATTGACGAAAACTAAAACAATAAGACTAAATCTTCACCTGTTACAATCTATAAGACGGAAATATTTGAAATTCTGGTATCGATGATATAAAAAAAAACTCATCAAATATACCAGGATTATAATCTTTTACACCAGACGCGCGTTTCAACTACATAAGACTCATAAACGTATGGAAATGTAAAAAATCTAAATTATAGTACATAACAGCGGTTTCAGATTTGTTCATGTACATTATATAATTCACCTGAGAGTTTAAAGTAAGAATAAATTAAGAATTTAGGAAACCTTACCTTAAGTTTACCAGATATTTCTATGTAATAGGACACACAACATTTAAAAAATGTTAACAATATAAAATAAAGTTAAAGTTAAAATGCTTTGTGATATAAATGAATATCAAAGTGCGCACAATTAATTAGTTGGCAAGAATCAGTTGTGATGAATCAAAATGAGCTGGAGCGGTCAGCAAAAAACAAAGAACAATTTTGGAATTTTAACTATTATTAGGACCTTTGCAATATTTTGTTAATGCTTATTTGGAAACACGCCACTTATAGACAGTTTGTTTTTGATCTATGAGTTTGACTGTCCCTCTGGTATCTTTCGTCCCTCTTTTATACAAAAAGACACTGTAAAGAAATTCTCTGTCATGAAAAATATTGAAAATCGTTAATGTTATTCACATTGTATCTGCAAGATTCCTTATTAAGACTATTACTTTGAAACATTATATATATTAATAAAATGTATGCCTGATTAGTTGTCAAAGTGAAGAAGTAGGGCAAATAATTTCCTGAATATATTTCACACTAAATATGGCAGTTGTAGGTGTGTAGCTTTAGGATATAACAACAGTATAACGTAAATGGGAAAAAGTTTCAAAAGCCCAAAGACGGTTTGCTTTAAACTACAATTTGTGTAAATTTGGCAGATTTTGAATATTCAACATACAAGAACATTTCTTAAACCAAAACCTAAATTGTCCTTAGATATTAATTTGTGTTGTTTAAGGATGTCCTTGCAAAATTTTACAAAAATATTAACATATATTATGTTGTTTCAAAATTGTATTGATTTTATTGAAATGATATTGAATATTTTAACCAAACACGCAATTTTGGTCGACTTGTATCACGCATAAAAGAGATGTTCACTAGTTGGTTGACCCTTATGGAATATCTGTTTCACAGATGACGACGGATATGTTCCAATTGTCGTAAAAACAATTTCTCCCCTTCCCCCCGGATGTGACCTATCAAATTAGAGAAATCACCGGGTTTGTACTTACATGAGCAACACAAAAGGTGCCATATATGGAGCAGGAGCACCTTAGATCAACCCCAGTTTTTTTTTGGGGGGGGGGGGGGGGAGGGGGGGGGGTTCGTGTTGCCCAGTCTTTGCTTTTTTATGTTGTTTTGTGTACTGTTGTTTGTCTGGTGGTCTTTTTTTTAGCCATAGCGTTGTCAGTTTATTTTCGACTTATGAGTTTGAATGTCCCTTTGGTATCCTTGGCCACTCTTGTCAGATAGCCAATACGTTATAGCAGATTTCATTCGTTTGTGTAAAATTTCACGGTTTTGCAATAGTTAAAAAGTATACGATCATTATGGCATATTTTATTTTAATAGATTACAATTTTAACGATTAATTATCTTTGCTAACGCTGACCCGTATGCAGGGTAAAATTTGTCAAGAATATAATGTGTGACAAACAACTATATTGAACTTTGATACTAATTTATTTTGGAGCATGTATAACTATCTGTAAAAATTTGCAATTTGCAATTTGCAAAAAGAAAAAGAAATAACACAGAATGTCATTTTAGATGTTGCAATAGTTCCCTTTGACATTACAGGATAAAATTATATTGACTACATTTTAGATGACAGGAATGCGATAATATAATAAAAGACATTCACGGAAGGTGATAGCTATTATAGAGGTATATCCATCAGAGTATATTTTGAGATAGAAATCCCTTAGATAAGAAGCGAACAGATTCCTTCTTGAGACAAGTTTAACCTGTTAAAAACCGCTTCTTTGAATGACTTTGTTATGTATTCAACACATATAAATGAGCTCTTTGCACCGACTAGTCGGAAATTATGGCCACGATTTCGTTTTGGGCATGCAATAAGAATATCACGCTTCCTCAAGCGAACACAAATAATTTGATGTTTTCACACGCGTCACAATATGCATCACGAAAGTATCATTTACTATCATGGCATCAATCGAATGGTTATAATATAATAATATTTCTAGATAAAAGGACAATTGTGTAACTTGAAAAACATTTTAACAGCATAACAGACCATTCAGCCTATTGTATGCACATGTCGAACTATCTCATCGCTTAAAAACCCAACGTATTTTGTATAAGCAATGAAAGTATGATAGTCTACTGTTTTTGAAGAGTTTGTGAGTTGAAGAAATTATTATGTCCGTCGTTTTTTTTTAGGTATGTAGTCATTAGGCATCGCTGCACGAAGTAAATCAAGGATCAGTTTGGTCTTAGTCCACCATAATCTTGAATATGACAACAAGTTTCAAGTAGAGAACGTCTTTGGTACCTATCATATACCATTCCTGTTGGAGTGTTCCCATCAAATAAGCACTGTCCATCTTTCTTTCAGAACACGATTACAGGATTGTGAATTCTACAATGGGATCCGTGCACTTATACTGTCATGTCTATATCAGCGAAAGGATGAAAACCTTATCTAACACAGGAATATAAGTTTTCATGAAAATTTTTAAGTGTTAAGTTTCATTTCGTATATCAGTAGATAGTGTTGTTGACTTATTTAACAATACAAATAAGTCGACATTGCTGCCACAATAATATATACAAATTAAAACAACAAATATCCATTCATTATAAGAATATTAAAAAAAAAGATGCAGAAGGACATAGTTTCCATAGCCATGAATCCCTATATCATGTGCACATATGTATATTTCAACATAGGGATGTCATGTTAATAAATTCTAATCTTATACCACATCCACATGTTCAATGAATGTTCTTTCGTGGTTCTTATAAGTACATAATTTGTAAAACACCAACATACCTTTTTTTTTTTATATCAAAGTGAAAGCTGATAACAAAATGTTATATCTTAAACAGTCTGTTTTCCATTTTTCCTTTTTTCTAAATTCAAACATGTTTTGGTGAATAAGTCTTCATAATGAGAGAAGAATGTTTATTAGTTAAATTTGCAATGGTATATATATCATTCAAAAAATTATAGATACTAATTACAGGCATTAGGAATTGACCAAATTATAAAAGTATCCATGACCGTCAGATCAAATCATACATAATAATGACTAACTTACCAAATCATATGGGAATTTAGAATAAATGACTAAATGGAAATGATGATATCCTTAAAATTAAAATTGCATTAGCTTCCAGTAGGATTTTACCTTCAAGGCATTGTTATCAACTTCAAGTGACATCGACCAGACTAAAGTTATACAATTATCCACCGTTTAAAAATTGAGAATGTTTGTTATTTACAAATATAAACTTTTTAATTTTCTGAAGTCATCCTTTAGATGCAACAGCGTTATAAATATAAATAAGAAGATGTGGTGTGATTTCCAATGAGACATCTCTTCACAAGATACCAAATGACACAGAAATTAACAAGTATAGGTCACCGTACGGCCTTCAACAATGAGCAAAGCCCATACCGCATAGTCAGCTATAAAAGGCCCCGAAATTACAAATGTAAAACAATTCAAACGAGAAAACTAACGGCCTAATAAATGTACAAAAAAATGAACGAAAAACAAATATGTAACGCAACAACAAACGTCAACCACTGAATTACAGGCTTCTGACTTGGGAGAGGCACATGCATACAGAATGTGGCGGGGTTAAACATGTTAGCGGAATCCCAACCCTCCCCTAACCCGGGACAGTGGTGTAACAGTTCAACATAAGAACAAACTATCAAAATCAGTTAAAAAGGCTTAACTCATCAGACGGATACAAATAGTAATACATCTTACAAGTATACAGAGTGGACGTGGGCGGGTACTTGTACATCCCAACAAAAGCTGCTATTTACGTATTTTTAGGATTTTTTTGGGGTTATTTCTCTCTTGATGTTTTGGTTTCCAAACATAAATAATTTTGAGTACAATTTATTACCGAAAAATCAAAACGCTAAGACGGAGCAAATGTAATTGTGGAGACTGTAGTTTGTACCCGAAAATTTGACATTTTTACCTATTATGTCTGTTTGTTTTGTTCACACATTGTTGTCAATACAATGAAATTTTAAGCGACAGTCATACAGGAAAGTGATTTAGCTAGCTATCAAACCGGATTTAACCCACCATTTTCTACATACGGAATTGCCTGTACCGTGCAAGTCAGGAATATGACAATTGTTTTAGTCGTTTGATGTGTTAATAGGGGACTTTCCGTTTTGAAGTTTCCTTGGAGCTCAGCATTTTTGTTATTTTACTTTTTATCGATGTTTCAAAAACCATTATGTCGTAAGGTACAGAATTTGCATTCTTATGTTTTACATGTTTTACGGTTTTAGCGTTCTGTCGGCTGACAACGGTCAGTCTGGCTTTTAAATATTTTCTTCCTACGTGTGAACGATTCGTAGGCCGCTGATCAAAAGGAGACGAAAAAGAAATAATTCATTTGATACATTTTACAAAAAAAAAATGCGAAATGCACTCACCTGTTTTTAGCAGAATGCGAATCCGTGCTTTGGGACTGACATAATTTACAACATGTTTTTCTAAAATACCCCGTTTAAAAATTAATTAATTACTATGAAACTTAGGTTGCAACTCCCGCAGACAAATTTAACCTAATAAGAATTTTGGTCATAGAGCTCCTAATGTTTCTACGTATTTATACATCCCTGGCTTTCAAATGTTTGTGTTTTAGCGTTCTTGATTAAATTGAATCAAAGAGCGCTACGTAGCACAAAATTTATAAAGTGGTATTTTCATACGAATAAAATAAAATAAAATAAAATAAAATAAAATGATATTGTGTATATTAATATGTTTTATCGTACAATTTTGTCAACCAATATAACGAGCAACCTAGTTTTTACATTTAGTTTCTTGTCCTATTTGAGTGTCACATCTGACTAAACGTAATTGACGATACAAAACCTAATAAAACTTCTAGAATTGATTAAAACCAAAATAGGACCTTAAGTAAAGCCAAACTCAGCCAAACGTTGTTATCTCGTGATTTCAATGCATAAATCAATGCATTGAGGTTATAAGTTCGTCTATCAAACGGAAAATTCACTTTTCCCACAAAATAGATATAAGAAGATTTGTTATGAGTGCCAATGAGACAACTCTCCATCC